CTCCCAGAATTCTCCAGCCAGCAGAGCTGGCTGGAGAATTCTGGGAGTTGAAGTCCACAAGTCTTAAAATTGCCAAGTTTGGGAACCACTGCCTTAGGGTATAGGTGTCAAACGCACTGCGTCACGTCATCATGTGACGTATCCCAACTTTTTCCCCCTTTGCTAAAATGGGGATGGGTGAGGCCAGTGTGTGACACATCTGGCCCGTGGGCCGAGAGTTTGTCACTCCTGCCTTAGAGCAAGGTACTAATCCATCTACAGTTGGTGAAATAGGGCAGACCCTGATAGAAAATAAAAAGGATAGGATAACATTAAAATGGCAAGTAAATTAATCAATCAATGCTAACACAAGAAAAAAAAAATAAAAAAAAAATAGCAGTAACTAGCGAGCCAATATTCCCACAATTGCAACAATAGCACTATTGAACTCAGGTCATATATTACACCTAAGCTAAAGATTTTTGGGGGGAAAAACTAGGTCTTCAAGGCCTATTATAAGAACCACAAGTCAGGGTGAAACCTGCTCAAACCTGAGGCGGTGGGCTATTTCCAGGAGGCAGGCAGCCTTTGTGACAGAGGAAGGCATACCTCCTGAGTCCCACCAGATGGCACTGCTTTAAAGATTGCTCCTGGGACATACCCAATCTGTCAGATGTAACTGGGAGAAAGGCAGTCCCTTAAACAACCAGGCCCCATATGGCATGAAAAGCTTCATAAGGTGTTTACTTAAGTACCTTGAGTTGGACCTGGAAGCTTATGGTAACCAGTGCAGCCTGTGCACTGAAGTGCTACATGGACATATTGAGGCCTGCCCATAAGCGCATGCCCCATCACAACTGTTGTCAGCTGCAGTTTCCCAATGGCAACTTAAAGGTAAAGGTTCCTCTCGCACATATGTGCTAGTTGTTTTTGACTCTAAGAGATGGTGCTCATCTCTATTTCAAAGCCGAAGAGCCAGTGATGTCTGAAAACGTCCCCATGGTCATGTGGCCAGCATGACTAAACACCGAAGGTGCACGGAACACTGTTACCTTCCCACCAAAGTGATTCCTATTTTTTCTACTTGCATTTTTTTACCTGCTTTCGAACTGCTAGGTTGGCAGAAAGTGAGACAAGTAACGGGAGCTCACTCTTTACAGGGCACTAGGGATTCAAACCGCCGAACTGCCAGCCATTCTGATCGACAACTCAGTGTCTTAGCCACTGAGCCACCTGAGCAAACTATGGTGACAACTTAGAGAAGGTCAAATGACAGACACTTCACTTTTCATTCTAGCTGACAAAAGCCCAGTTGAAAAAATGTACAGGAAATGTTGCCACAGGGTCTGTAAAACAACCACAGTAGATTCCATCTGCGGACAATACATCTGGGATAAAACAATGTTAAGTCCTTACTATACTTCTGCAAACTACTTCCTGTCTTATCACATAACATCTAGTTCATCTAGAATACCCGAGTTTGCTAAAGACAGACATGTTTAAAGTTTCATGATTTAAGAGCATATCACTGGCAACTTGAAATAATATAATGTGGCTAAAAGTCAAATGAAGTGAGGGAAATATCAAGCAGGGGAAAAGCCACCTCAAACTCTTCACTAAACAATTAGTTTTTTCCCCCAAGGAAAAAAAAAAACCTAGCCTGAGTATTCAATCTGGCAAGTATTCCTGAGCGCAGAAGGCCATGCTTCCAATATGCACCCATCATGCAGTCCAAAACTTTTTTTGTCTAATAAAGAGGTTTCCCTACTCCATGCTTTGCTGGAAAATACACACTTATTCCAAAACTATGTTTAAAAAAACCCAGTAACTTCAAATGTTTCATCAACCTTAAACTTATCCTCATTGCACATGATAGAAGCTTGGGTTGGAAATGATTGGTTTCCTCAACAAAGCTAAATATTTACTCCCTGGGGCAAGCTTAAAGTTCCACTCTTTAGAGGGTACTTCTGCCATTTTAAAGAGAAAAGAACTTAAATGGCAGCTTATTTCCTACCCATTTTCCATTTGTAAGAAAGGGATGGGGAACAATTTCATTCTACATTATCATCAATTAGTTTCAATGGGGAGGAAGCAGGAAATAGACAGGGTGGCAAAGTTAATGGCTCCAATCTTGGAAACTTTTCAGAAGGACCAGAAGGCCTTTGGCTCCAAGGGAACCAATGCTGCCTTTGATCTGCCCAGGTTTAGGGTATTTGGCCTATAGAAAGCTAGGATAGTGTCATATGATCCCTGTTCCATCAATGAAGCTACTTTTTCAATATGTAAAACTACGTAACTTGCATCCTTGTAAGTTTTGTAGATAAATTCTCTACATGTTCAGCTATAGCAGTTAAACCAGCACAGGTTAGTATTTCTGTACAGGCAAAACTGTAAATTTACCCACCACTAGTGTGATGAGAAAAAAAATAACAGAAATGGCTTGTATGATAGTATTCTTAAATGATGGAAAATAAAATACAAAGTATCACCATAGCTCTAATGCAAATCCTTTTCCAAAAGATTACAAATATCCTATTAAAAATTTCAATCCTTTATTTTTATCTTCACAAAATCAGTTACTCTGATGCTCTGGGCTAAAGAAAAACCTTTTGTGCCAAATGAAACCTCCCATACTCCTTATCTGGACAAAGGGAGGGGGAGGAAATCCCACCCCCTTCTCTTTCTTTGCTAGAATAGATGTAAATTACACCTCCCCCTACATTCCTCACCCCCTTATCTTGCTTCTATCTTTTCTTCAGAAGAGCTTATTTTTTCCACCCAAATCTTGACAGCCTGTTTTGTAGGAGGCAGGACAGATACACCCTGCCTGCAAGGCACTTGTGACTCCTGCATCTTGTGAACAATTCCAACATAGGCTAAAAGGAAGGCAACTATCTACAAATCTGGGTTGCTTACACTATAATCAACTGATACAACTGTATGCATTTGTTATAGGAAATGAGGACAAGCTTTGGAGGGGAAGATTACTTACATACATACACCTTTATCTTTGGGAGTAAGGCGGGAATAAATCCTAAAACAAGTTAGCATTTTAAGTTCTTCTTTTAAAAACACAAACGTGTCCTGCAGCATTAAATATGTTAAAACTTAACTTAAATGCCAAACCATTTCTAAGTTACATTTAAATGACTTAAATGCTGGAGCTGAATTTCTGAATGGTTGTCTATATAATGACATAGAGAAGTTAATAACTAAGGGAAGGATTCAATTGGCTAGAGATTACCAGCATCTCTGAATCAATATAATGCAACCACGGGCTAGAACCCGAAAGCCTCAAGTACAAATTTAAGGCACAAAAATGACTTTGTCTCTTTCGGTCCAACCTACTACTCCCAGACTGCTTGCAAGAAAAAATTAAAGAAGGGAGTACTATGTATGCCACTTTCAGCTGCAGCTTGGAGGAAAGCAAATAAATAAATATCCTGTGCTAGAAATGAAAACAAGGGCGAGTACACTGGAAAAGTTTACTTATATCATCATGACAACAAAGCAACTTTGTTTTATGTTCTGGGACTTCATTAAAAACAACTATGAGGAAGTGAAATTAATTTACCCACAAAAGTATTTTCTGAATGTTTTGAACAAATTCCAAAATTCCTGGGAGGCTATGACTAAAACCAGAAAGTTGTCAGAAAAGAAAAAAAAAACTGATTAAAATTAAAAAAAAGTTTTTTAGTTTTCTACACTCCCCCTCCCTCCCATCTATAAAATGTAAGAGAAAATCTAGCTGGGAAAAGCTGATTTATCATTTGCTATGTACCAGGGCTCAGAGTTAACATCACCCTCCCGCTTCAGATAAACTGATTACTAGAAGCTGCTTCACGAGTGATTTCACAATGAAAGGGACTGGAGAGATACTGTACTGTGAATCTATGCAGAGACAGTACAAATAAAAATCATAGTTTGAAAGGACCTTAAACACTTAGTAGGAAAATTAATAAGCCTTCCCATTTCTTAAAAAAAACAAAAAAACAAATGGTCCCACAGTCAGGGGAGAGAGAAGTCTGGTTGGGTCTACTTTGGTGGAAGCAACAGCAAGAATTTTTCCCATAAGAATTAATTTTTGTCTATTCTTCCCCAGTAGATTTATTTAGTTTTCAAGAAATTAATGTGTATCCCATTTATTCTGGTGTGTGTGTGGGAGGAGATCATGCAAAAAGAGCAATCAGGAGATGGGTGAAATTAATTCTGGGCTGCTTTGGCCTTCAAAGTACCTCAGCTCTCTCTCCCCAGCCCACAAATGGGGAGTCCAGATATATTTGTTTTTAGTGTGACTTTAAATATGTAAGACTACATCTAGGATTTGGTTCCCATTACACTTAACAGGATTTTCCTCCTAACAGACCCTTACGGGTTTGGGCCAAGCCCTAAGCCCAAATCAGTCTCCGGCCTGGAAAGTGGTCGAGAGGAGAAGATAAAAGAGGAAGAGCCGGTTTCCGCTTTAGCACAATAGCCTCGCCAGGCTGTGCTGGAGAGGTAGCCGACCCACCCGAAGCCAGCCCGTTTCCCAGCAGCCATTCGCCGATTGCGCAGCGTGAAAGCCAACCCATCTCAGAAAGGGACAATGGGGTCAGCGGAGAAGCGGAGAGAGAAGCATCTCTCCAGGCGTACCGATCCGAACAAATCGAGTACACAAACGAAAATCACCGCTCCGCGTGGAGGCTTCGGGTTGCCTCTTCCTACCGCCCCCCCCTTCCCTTTTTTCTCTCTCTAAGCGGCTGCGCATGAATGCAACCCCTCCCGGCCTCCTCCGGGCGGGTAGGCAGCGCATCTTCACTGCAGTGCGCCAAGCCGCGAAAGGAGAGGTGGCCATCGCCTGCCTGCCGCAGATGCTTTCCCCCCCACCTCTCCCACCCGCCCCGGATCTACGCAAAACCATTCACCACCGTGGCATGAACTCTGTCAACCTCGATCCTCCCCATCGCTCGGGGCGCCGCTTCTTACCTCCTACGCAGCCTGCGAGGAAATCCAGCGCCATGATCGCTGTTGCCCGACGCGTGCTTTCAAACCTGAAGCGTTTAAAATGCCCTTTGCTCCGGCTTTTTTTTTTTTTTTAGGGTTGCGATGCACTTTGTGGCTCCGAGTACCGTAACGCGTTTCCTTAGGGAATAAAGGAGGGAGCTGGGCTTCCTCCAAGGCCGGAGGGAGGAAAGCAATCCAGAGGGTCTTTGCGATGCTGGAAACTCGTCCTTTCTTTGGCTCCTCGGTTTCCCTTTGCGTTCTGACAGCGAGCCAGGGAAAATCCAGGGCGCCCTTCGAGCCGGCGCGTTCCTCTCTCGATTGTCGCCAAACTGGACCGAGTCGTTTCTATTTCTGACGCCAGCGAGAGGAGGGGGGGAGACCGAGCCTTATGGGGAAAAGGCAGCCTCCAATAGGAGGCCGCTTGCGAGACAACGCCCTTCCAGTGAAGCCCTCCGCTCCGGCCGTTCATTGGGCGATCAACTGGGCGGCATCCTGCGACTTGGAAGGCAGCGGCTGCAAAAGACTCCGGGTGGTGGGGAAGGAGGGAGCGCCGCCTACTAGAGCCGGGCGAATGTCAGCCTCTGCTGTTGTGGCAACGCATCTGCGCAAAGCTGGGCAGGTGCTGCGGCGGGTTTAAGGCCGCTTTAGGGGTGGCGCGCTGGCTCTTGTTCAGTGGAAGGTGCGGGGCAGTTACGCATCGAGGGCGCGGGGGCTCCTGCCCAGCAATTCGTGCTCGCGGGGGTGGTGGTGGTGGTGGTGAGAAGATCGTTCGCCCTCCAAGCTAATGCGGATTGGAAACCGAGAAAGGACAGACGGAGGCAGGAGAAGTTGGGATGAGTTGGAAGGTCAAATGTGCCAGTCCGTGCTCGTCGTTAACCTCAAAAATAAAGCTTCCTGTCGATAGACATGCACAACGGTACCCTATGACTATCATTATTTGTCCTTAGGTTGTACTTTATAATTCTTAACGAATGTATCTTGTCTTTTTATGTACATTGAGAGCATATGCACCAAAGACGAATTCCTTGTGTGTCCAATCACACTTGGCCAATAAAGAATTCTTTCTATCCAGAATCAATGTTTTCTGTGGTTCAAACTTCATAAGCAATCAGTCTATTTTATCATTTTATTATCTGTTTACTGACACTGAATATATGTATCATTTGTTTCTGTACCTTCTTAAAAACACATGGATTTTTTGGTCTTTGCTTGAATTTTAAAAAAAGTTACACAATGAGGCGGAAGTGATTTTGGTTTTCAGAGACTAAAGTGGCCCTGGGAATTTCCAAGGAGAATGTAATGGTTGCATTTGTGTGGCATATTGAGCCATGAAGCAATTTTTTTTGGGGGGGGGGAATATTAGAATTTTAGTTTGTAGTCCAGTGTCCTGGGAACCCAGGATTAATTAAATAAACAATTATGGTTGACCATGGGTATGTCTGTCATGCAGACTTGCTTGCCAGTATTACTCAATGCTTGTCGCCTGTAAATATTTTGGGAGGGTAGCTTTGTTAAACTCACAATAACATCTGTTCTTGTCTACCAGTATTACTCATTGCTCGTCACCTGAGATGTATGCTGCCTGTTAATATTTTGGGAGGGAAGCTTTGTTAGTCTCACAAACAAAACCCCAAACCCCTCAACAGGGAGTATTTTTTTAACCTTGACAACTTTAAGATGCGTGGACTTCAACTCCCAGAATTCCCCATGCTAACCGGAGAATTCTGGGAATTGAATTCCACACATCTTTAAAGTTGCTGAGGTTGAAAAACACTATTCTTCGATGTCCCAAAGGTGCTTCTTCAAGAAGCAACTGGGCTTTCTTTTTTAATTATTTTTTTATTTTTTATTTTCAAAATAAACACAACACATAAAATCTTCCTTCTTTACATACTGTAGAAAGTGTATCAGTTGGTTACAAAAGGCTTTCGTGCATCTCTTCCACAGTCATCAAGCATAATTCATATTAACTCAAGTATTTTAACTCAGATATTTATATATGTTACCCTTATCATACCTCCATTTTTATTTGACTATAATTGTTTAAACGTCCTTCATCATAAAATATACCAAGATTTAATACATAACCACATATTGGCATTTCATTTAATATTTCTAAAATCCTCCAATAACACTGAATCCTTATGTCCTATTCTAGCTAAACATCCAGAATATTTAATAACAAAGTTTTCTAATCCTCCTTTCCAAATCACTATTTGCAATTTTCATCCAGTTTCCTTATACCCATATCTATATATAGGTTGTCATCATTATCCCTCCTTTATTTGACTATATCCTGTATCATAACATTTTTCCCCTAATAATAAAAACTTAACTGTATCTAACTTAGTTCTTTTTATTAACCTTTGTATATAATCCAAAAGGATTTCTAATCTTCCTTTCATGGGTACCATTCAATATTCATATCCAATTATTACTTATCATAACACTACACATTGTATATATTATTATCATTATCAATTATTTATTTAACTATATCTATTATCACTAAATTTCACTAAGTTTAATTAGTTTTAAGTTATATTCTTCCATCTATCAACCTGTATCTTTCCAATAACAAAACAATCTCATATCTTCTCCCATTTGTGGTACCAATCCTCTAATCATCTTCTTGATCAGCTTTGTATGGACTCCTCTTAGCAGCTCCTTGCTTATAAGATCTCTCATATAATCTTTATGCTCTCTTTCTGTTCCCTTATTCAGCTTTCTTTGATTGTCAGCAGTGTTATCAATGCTTTTGCGAATTTCTTTCTTTAGAAAGTCCATAGATTCTTTAATTTTATCTTCTTGACCTTTGGAATAGATTTCCTCTCCATTTAATTCCTCTTTCAGTATTCCATTCTTTCCATTTTCAGGAACAAACCAATTACCATACACATCAACAGGTTTAATCTCTTTATATTCAACTGGGCTTTCTTGGACAAGAAGCAAAACGTCTCCAAAGAAAAACAAGAAAGCCCAGTTGCTTCTTGAAAAAGCACCTTTGGGGCAAGCATGACCTGGATGACTGAGAATCTCCATAGACACTAGTCTAGGGCAACTTAGATTCATTGTATAACTTTTTATAGAACACAACTGGGAGTAGCATAAGCTAAGAGCTCATAGCTGGGTATACAGAAGATACTGTTTCAGAATCATACAAACTACACTTCAGAGTGAATGCAAAGAGTGCAGAGAGTGCGTATGTATGACATGCTCAACTGTATCTGGCTCAGTCCATGAGTAAGTGTATCCAGTGAGCTGATGCCAAATGACCCAGCAAAAGAAGGATAGTTTTGATTTGCTTGGAAGCAGCTGCCTTGGCTGGTACTCCAGCTGCTTTTGCAATGGCTGGCAGACTGACGTTTCCTTGCCTTTTAAAAAAAAGAAACCAATTGTAAAACCAACAAATGCCCTTCTGTGGTAGCCTGGTGGGCATCGTGGTCCCCAGGAATAGCATGTCACACAGCAGCTTCTCTGCCCATTTTTCATCTCTGCTTTGCTCCTATGTGTCTGCATGAAAAAAAGCTGGATAAGAAAGCAATTTTCTTTTATAGTTGCTCATAAATCTTCATAAACTCATGAATCCAGAGGCCAGAATACTGTTGATTTTAAAGTAATTTTCCATTTATGAGGAAGTTGAAAGGAGTAGATCTATAAGATAGCTGGCTAAAATTGCAGCCCTTTACATTAATCATGCTTTTATTTGGCTTTGTACATCCAGAAATAATCTAGCAGATAATTTATATATCACTAACTTTGACAGTTGCTTCCTGAGTCTTTTTCAAATAAACTTGTTTAGTTTATGTCATGTAAATCACAGATGCCTTTTTTTTCTTTGTCAAAGTAACATTTGTATTCATCTGTGAAATGTAAATGCAATCCCTTATTTTATTCCAGAGTTGCTCATGATGGAGCTTTATTTATCTTTTCACATGATTTGTGCATGTTTTGCTGTATGAAAAGAAAATAAATATAATTTATTTCTATAATACTATTATATAAAGTATATTTATACAACTAATACAACATATCATGGCATTATTTTCAAAGGCATTGATAATTTCTGAAAGCAATGGGAAAGACCAGGCAAAGGTCTACTCTCTGGCAAGGACTTAAATATTGTTTTTTCTCATTTGTATGTGAAATACCCATCAGGGGTTAATCCCTCTTAAAATACACATTCATTGAAATTCCTCTTAAACTATATCTTAATTTTAATGTAGTATACATTTCAATTATATTGATCTTACATTTGTTTCCTCTATGTCCGGGATGGTGAACCTATGTCACACATGCCACAGGTGGCACACAGAGCCATTTGTCTGGGGACGGGAGACGCTGCCCTGTCAGCTGGCCAGCACGAATGAGCACACTGGCCTGCTAACTTTAGCCTTTTTTTGATGCCATTTTTCACCCTCCCCAGGCTCCAGAGGCTTTATAGGCACACCCTCCCGTTGAGGCCCTCCAGAGGCTTCAGGAACTTCCCTGAAGCCTCTGGAGTGCAAAAAACTAGCCCTAGGGGCAAACTGGAAGTTCGGGAACAGACTTCTGGTTTGCTCGTAGGGTTGGTTTAAACCCTCCGGAGCCTTCAGGGGCCTTCCGGAAGCTTCCCTGAAGGGTCCGGAGAACGAAAAAGGACCCTACGAGCAAACCAGAAGTCACTTCTGGTTAAGCCCTCCGGAACCTTCAGGGAAGCCGCCTGAAGGTTTCTGAAGGCTCCGGAGGACTAAAAATGGCCCTACGGACAAACAGGAAGTGACTTCCGGTTTGATCGTAGGGTCGTTTTTCATTCTCTGTGGCCTTCAGGGAAGCCTCTGGAAGGCCTCAAGGCTCCAGAGGGCTTAACTGGCCCTACAAGCAAACTGGAAGTCAATTCCCGAACTTCTGGTTTTCCTGTAGAGCCGTTTTTTTGCACTCCGGGGATGGGGGAGGCTGTTTTCGCCCTCCCCAGGTGAAAGCCTCTGGAGTCTGGGGAGGGCAAAAAAAGCATGCAAAAAATGGGGGGCAGGGCCTGTCATGTGTTCATGTGTGCTGGGGGTTGCACATTGCATTATGGGTGTGGCACGCCCATGCACGAACCCCCTGTGCTATGGGTGTGGCACACCCATGCACGACCCCCCTGTGCTCCCCTCGATTTTGGCATGTGAGCCAAAAAATGTTCACCATCGCTGCTCTATTTGGTCACCACAATCAACACAGTTCTATAATTTACATAAGCTGGTAAATTGTGTAGGAACTTTAACATCTAGTTATATAGTGATAGCAAAATAATTTTGATTCCTTGTTTTTTACCCGTCTCAGCTTCTGGATCATCTCCAAAGGCTGCTCCTCATGGAAAATTTTATGATAGTCTAATAGATGA